AGACATATTATCAGGAGGAACCAGTCCCTGGTGAAGTATATCATGCTTGGTAAAGTAGAAGGTTAGAAAAAAGAGGAACCCCACCCCCCTCCCAAGGAGATGGATTGGCACAGTGGAAGCATCAATGGGCTGAAGCATAGCAAAGATTGTGAGATTGGCACAGGACTGAGTATTGTTTCATTCTGTTGTGCATAGGGTCACTATGAGTCAGTACCAACTCAATGGCATCTAACAACAACAACAACCACATTCCTAAGGAATTCTGCTGGCACAATGGTTAAGTGTTTGGCTGCTAACCAAAAGATAAGCAGTTTGCCCACACTCAATGGCATTGTGGGAGAAAGACCTGCAATCTGTTCCCATGAGGATTACCACCCATGAAACCATATGGGACTATGATTTGGATTTAACTTGATGGCACCAAGCAACAATAACAATTGCACTCCTATTTTTAAGGCTCCTGGAGCAAATCATTTAGTAACCGAGGGGAGAAAACACCTTCCCTGAGTGTCCTGGGATTCTAATGTCCTTTCTTCCCCAACAGGGTCCTCTGGGCCAAGACTGGCTCTGTGGAAATCTGGGGGCAGTGATGGTGGTCCTGCTTGGCCTTGTCTTCTTTGTTCATGAGTCCAAGTGAGCTGGTCCTGAAAATAAATGGAAGCTTGATGGGTTTGGGACAAGGATACTTGGGTGAGGGAATCGGAAACTGAGGGGTTTCTGGGTGAGGAGAGAAGGGAGGAAAGTGGGAGAACCCGTTAGTTGTTGAAGTCATATCTTGAAACACCTGCTGAGAACCTACCTAGGCTAAGCATCTTGGGATACAGAGAAGTCAATGATGCTGACAGCGTGAGAGGAGTTTGTTGTGGTAGGGAATGTTCACTCCATCTTCCGCCATGCCAAAATGGGTCTTCTTCGTTATGTGAATCCATCACACACCTGCTGCAGGGTTCTGGGGGCAGGCTGCTTAGACTGGGCCCACCCTAGACCTTACAAAGAATAGCGGTCAGGGGTAGAGTAGAGAAAAAGTCTTGAGGGCAGGACTTAGAAACCATGGGAAGGAAGTAACATTGAGCTGGATTTTGACCTTCAACAGTCATGGAAAGGGCATAGCAGGCAGAAGGAGTGAACGTTGGGAAACACAGGCCAAACAGTGAGCAGTGTTGCTTGCCCAGAGCTCAACTCAGTTGTTTGGAAGAGGAGGTTGGGCTGGAGTCAGTCTTAGCAGGCGAATGTTGCCATAACAGAAATACCATAACTGTGGCCTTAGAGACCAGGAATCTCTCTTCTCACCATTCTAGAGGCTAAACATCTAAATCCAGATCTCAGCCCTGCAGATTTCCACCTTATCAGTAGTCCAGGGTGTTCCTTGGTTTGTTGTTGTTGTTGTTGTTAGGTGCCATGGAGTAGGTACTGACTCAGAGCGACCTTATGCACAACAAAATGAAACACTGCCTGGTCCTGGGCTAACCTCATAACTGTTGTCATGCTTGAGCCTATTGATGCTGCCACTTTGCCAATCCATCTCACTGGGGGGTATTCCTCTTTTTCCTTGTAGAAAATTCTCACATAGTGTCTCTCTCCTCCCTCCACTTCCTCTGTGTTTTTTCTGGTCTTTTTATAATTCAGAAGTAATTAGGCCTAGGAGTCTTGGTGTGGCACTGTAGGTTAATGCACTGGACAGCAAAGTCAGTTTGAACTACAAGGTTGACAATTCAAGCTCACCAGCCACTCCTTGGAAACTGTAGAGTTGGTATGGTTTGGAACCAACTCGACAGCACTAAACAACAACAACAAATTAGGCTTGGGACCCACTCTATACTGGGGTGGCCTTATTCACATAACAAAATTAAACTCTATTTTCAAACAGGACCACACTCACAGGTATAGGGCCAGGACCCTAATATTTTGGGGGATGCAATTCAATCTACAACAATGTCTGATTACTGGGGGACTTGAGCAGCAGATGAGGGGTTAAGCAGTGGACCTACAGGTCAGCCATAGTCCTTAGTTGCCCTGCTGCTGTCCATGTGTGAACAACAGGCCCACCTCAGGGCCCAGCTGTGTCTCACATGGGCAAACCTCCATAGTCAAATCTTAGGTGGATGTGGGATCCTAGCCAGGACTTGGTGGGCTCACCATGGGGAAACTAAGGCATGTGACGGTCCAGCTCTTCAGAAGTGTTGTGTTTCTCACTTCCTCTCACCCTATCTGACCCTAACACACACACCTATTGGTTTCCAATCCCTGTGGTGGGGGCTGAAGGGCAGGGAGGAACTGGGGACATGGGAGTCAGCAGGGGGTGGGGCGGTGAGAAGGGTTCAGGAACTGAACCATCACCCTGGCCAGAGGATGCAATACTCAAATTGTCCAGGCCTGGGCCACTTGACAGACCCTGGTGTGGGGTTTATTATGGACCTAGTGGGAATGCCATGCAATCGTGAGCATGAGGTTGTCCCAAAGAACTGGTTGACTACAAGTCCAAATGGGTTGTCCAAGTGGGAGCTCATCAGTGGGTCAATGGTGGAGCTAAAGGACTCAGAGTCCCCAAAATAGCAGATGTCATAATTTGGTTTCCTCCAAAGCAAACCCTAGGATGAATGAAGATTTGGGTGCAGGTAGTCTCTTTATCCCAGGCAGTAAGGTGAAGGAGGGAGGAAAGTCAGTGAAGGTCATATTGATATGCAGGTGACCAGTGTGATCACTCCTCCTCAGGAAGAATGGTGAGCAGATGAGAACACTGTGGACCAGAAACCCTCCCCTATGGAAGGGCAGGAATCCAGCAATCAGAGTGCTGCATGTCAAAGGAGCATAGCCAGGAAGGGTGTGGAACCAGCCCCACAGGGTGGCATGGCTCTGAATGTGGGGTCAACGTTCACATGTCTGTTCCTGGCAGTGAGCAGGGTCAGCACACATTTTCATCATTCCATATGGCCTCAGACATGGCAGTCCGTCATGACCGGATATAAGCTGGGAGTCAGACCAGGGGCACCAGACAACTTGTGTCCACAGAGCCCAAGGTAGGGTTTCAGCAGATGTGTGCTGCGCCATTGTTCTCCACCTGCTGGTTCAAAGGGTGAGGGGCAAAGGCAGGGGTGTAAAGAGAAAGACAGAAGTAATAAAGAGGGTCCAGGTAGGTCCAGGGGAGACCTGGCTGGCAGCATCTGGCCCTTTGTTTTGCAGTGTAGGCTAATGAGGGGGGTTATCAAGAAGTACAGAAGCATTCAGGCCCTGAGTTCAGACATATCTGGACTGTCCAGCTGTGTGAGCTTGGACAAGCTGCTTAAACTCTTTGAGCCTGTTTCTTCATTTGTAGACTGGAGATGACACCAGTATCTTCCTCTAAAGATCAACAGAGACAATCTTTGTAAGGAGCCTTGTACACAGTAAATGTTCAACAAGTGGAAGCTGCAAGTATTATTCTAAAGCAGCAAATCAGTGCAGCAACTCCAACCTTTGTAAGAGTGTAATTTATTTACAAAACCAGCCTCTGGCCCACTGCCGCCCTTAGTTGTTCAGGCAGGCCCTGTTCTCTCTCTTGCTCTTGGTTCAGACTACAGAAGGACTGGTCAAAAGGTCTGAGTGCTGGACAAAGCAGACATACCCTTCATGGAACCACTTTTGGGGGCTACTTGTCTTCATTTCACATTGGACAGTTTTCCCAGCTAGGAAAACAAGGCAGGCAGAGCCTGCGGTGGGATGGGCCATTTCCTAGTGTGAGGTGGAAAGTACAGGTGAAAGGCTGAATGTGGTCACAAGGCTGAGTTTCACCCCTGTGTTTGAGGAGAAAAACAAACTCCAGGCCTGCTAAATGGGACAGCAGGGGTGGAGCCTCTCTGTGGACTCAGGGGATGCCAGTACTGCTGGGCAGGGAGGTAGGACTGTCCTCACACTGGCATTGGGGCAGTGAGGAAGGAGAGAATCAAGGACCTACAGGGAAATGGCCTGAGCTATGGGACTCTCACTCTAATGACCAGCGGGGTCTGGGAGCCAGTTCCCCAGTGGTTCCTGCAAGCCAGGGAAAGGAGAGTGGACGTAGGCCCAAGGGCAGCCAGTAGGGTTGTGGCTGCCTCTTTCCTGGCTGTGTGGAGACTCCCTGAGAAGGGGTGTGGTGGGGAGGATACCTTCACAGCGTGGCCGCACCAGGCCTAGGCAGCTCCCCTGTGGGCCCCAGGGTCCCCTGTGGGGAGGCAGGAGGCCCAGGGCTAGTGTGCAATCTCTCCTCAGGTGTCCTGTAGTAAGGCACGAATCCTGCAGCACAAAGGGTATGGCCCATGAAAGTGGCCTCACTGAAGAAAGGAGCATCCAAGTCAGTGTCACAGGAGCACCTTGTGGAGACTGACAGGCCGGGGAACCAGGCCAGTGAATGCAAAGACAAGGCACCGTGGTGTGCGCCTGGCGAGGCCTGCTGGTGAGATGGAGACAAGAAGGTCAGCCAGATGCAAGTCAGATACTCATCACGGGCCTGTGCTCGAAGCACCACAGTGGCAGTAAAGGAAGCAGGGCCTGGACCTGTTCTACAGATGGGACAGTCCTCAGTGATGTGAACAAGGTCACCCAGCTGGAACCCACTTATCTCACCTTCTCCAACATCCTTGAATTATAGGAGATGGTATCCAGCTGCGAGGTGCTGGTTTTAAATAGTGCTACGGTGAACAGGCTTGGGGCTCAAATCCAAGGTCTGTAATTTGCTAGCTATGTGTCCTTGGCTAAATCATTTAATTTCACAAAGACTTATTTTTCTCTTCCATAAACTGGGAATAATCATAAATGAAATTCTCAAAACGTCTAAGAATTGTTATCGCTCTTGTTTTCTTTTACAAGGGAACTGAACTTCAGGGTAAGCATGTGCCTCAGGCCTTCGACTAGGAAGTGGTGGAGCTGGGACTGAACCCAGGTATTTTGGCTTCGGTGCCTGTGCTCTTATCACTGGGACAGTCTGAAGGATGTAGTGAGGGGACCGGTGCTGCTGTCCCGAGCCTCCCTTGGTCTCCCCAACTCACAGAACATTCACTGCTTCCAGTCATCCTGCAGAAGCAGCCATCCTGTGCCTTCCTCACGGTGCGAGCATCCTGAGAGTCCTCTAAGTGCCTGCCAGGAAGGACCAGGCTGGGGAAAATCTCCTCTTCAGAGCGGTAGTAAGGGAAGAACCCACTGAGTGTTGTAGAGTCCTCCGGAAAGGGTACTTCTCTAACACCCAAGCCTTCTTCTTGATCCTTACAGGCTTCGGGCCATGGAGTCCCCTCCATATCAGTCACCAATGACCCATTGGTGCGGAAGAATGGCAGGTACTCCGAGGCCACAGAGGGCCCATGGGAGAGGCTGTGGGAGTTGAAGGCCTGCCTGGAATTGGTGGTCTGCGGTTGTTGGGGAAGGAACTCTGAGGTCTCCTCCAAAATATTCTGAGAGGATGAGGCTCTGGGTTCAGGCCTAAAGCTCTCCTGACATGTCTGGGAAAAGAGGATGTTTCATCTGTCATTTCACTCCAAACCTCTTCCCTTCCCCCCTCCTCCCACCAGCTACTCCAGCTGCCTCCCTAACTCCTACCTACCACCTACTGTGGAGACCAGGCCTCCTTTGTTGTTAAAACTCAGCAATGGGTCCCTACTGTGCATACCTTACTTAAGAGCCTCAGGCAATCTGACCTGGCCAACATCTATAAGCTTATCTTGTATCTTCTCTGCCTGCTTGCTTTGTGCCATATACATGGGCCTTCATGCCACTCCTGTTAGGTAAAGCTTGGTCCTGCCTCAGAGTCTTTATCCACATCCTCTCCTTGGCTCTCAGCATAGAAAAGTCTTCCTTCTCACCCTCCACTCTCTCCTCACCCTGGGTGAATCTGGATCACTTCACCCTTCACTTGTTGTTGTTAAGTGTCATTGAGCCTGTTCTGATTCACAGCAACCCTTTATAGTGTTTCTGAGGAGCAGTTGATGAGCTTGAACCACCGACCTTGCATTAACCCATAGTACACTATATTAACCCACAGTGCCATACCAGGACTTCACCTTCCACTACTCCACTGAAATTCTCTTCTTGATCTTTCTGCTCCATATGTATGAGGTCTTAATGTCTCTGCTGCTGCCTGGCACATAGTAGGCTCTCAACGGATATTTTTTCAACAAAGGATTGATCTGCTCTGCTCTTCTTGTTGTTGTTGTTAGGTGCCACTTAGTCATAGAGACCCTGTGCATAACAGAAAAAAACACTGCCGGGTCCTGGAACAACCTCACAATTGCTGCTATGCCTGAGCCCAATGCTGCTGCCAATTGCCAATCCATCTCATTGGGGGTATTCTTCCTTTTCTCCAACCCTCTACCTTACCAAACATGATATCCTTCTCCAGGGATGGGTCCTTCCTGATAACATAACTGAACGAAGTATGAGAGACAAAGTCTGGCCATCCTGGCTTCCAAGGAGAACTCTGGCTTTATTTCTTCCAACACAGGTCTGTTGGTTCTTTTGGCAGTCTATGGTACTTTAAATATTCTCCTCCAACACCATAACTCAAATGCATCAATTCTTCTACGTTCTTCCTTATTCACTGTGCAACTTTTGCATGCATATGAGGTTTATGAAAATACCGTGGCTTGTATCAGGCACCTTAGTCCTTAAACTGATGTCTTTGTTCTTCAGCACTTTAAAGAGGCCTCGTGTAGCAGATTTGCCCAATGCAACATGTCGTTTGATTTCTTGATTTGCTCTTAGCCCATCTTATATACTCCTCCCTCTGTCAGAACAGCTACCCACATCTTCTTTCCTTCTCTCTTGCCAAGCATCATCAGATGTGGTTGTGTCTTTGCACATGTGAATGCTCCTACCTGGAATCTCTTCTCTCTCTTTTGCTCTGGCTCATGATATTTTAGCTCGTGGCTCAGTGCCACTTCTTTGATCGTCCTATTTTTCACTTCCACATCTTGATATTGCTCAGCAAAACCTATTTTTCACTTCCACATCTTGATACTGCTCAGAGCACTCACTCCCTTGCTCTGTGTGGCTATTTGATTAATTCGGCTCATCCTGCTAGTATGTAAATTCCACTAGAACAAGACCTAGGTGTCTGGTTCATGCCTGCATTCATAGAACCTAGAATTTCATTGTTATTAGTTAGCTATTGTAGATTCAGACTCCAACTCATGGTGATCCCATGCACAATGAAACCCAACACTGCACAGTCCTGTGTGGAGACCAGAGGGGTCTATATGACATCCAGATTTCCTTTGTTAAAACTCAGCAATAGGTACCTACCATGGGTAGCTTATTCAAGAGCCATCCCTTATTGTTGCAAATAATTGTGATCCACAGGGTTTTTTATTGGCTGATGTTCAGAAGAACATTGCTGGCCTTTTCCTAGTCCATCTTAATCTGAAAGCTCTGCTGACAGGCAGGTGGTGGTTGGGGTGAATTGGCCAGAAATTGGACACTGAACCCAAATCTCCTGCATGAAAAACGTCAGTTCTACTGCTGAAGCATAGAACTGGCATATTGTTAATATTGCAAGAAAGGAAAGAAGAATGGGAGGGACAGAAATCAGGAGAAATAAAGAAACTATTAAACTGAACTTGGCCAGGACCAAGTTGTTGCTGCATTTGGTATTGAGAGGAAGGAGAAACTATATCTGTGGGAGACAGAGGGGAGAGAGTTAAGGAATAGCTTTCCTTTCCCACAAGATGTATTAGACAAGAGTATCGGATGGTGAAAAGTCAGAGCATTTCCCATCTGTAGTCTTTGCCTATCAGGGCCAGACCCAAGGCACATGGGTACATGGTAGGGACCATTAGCCTTGAATGAGCTTGTGGTCTCCAGCCTTCTTGACCTTCACTGGAGTGTCTAGACCTTGAGCCCAATCCCACTCATCACTGTCCATGACCTTCTCTTGTCTTTCCCCCATTTTCCCATAGTCTATACTCACCCCTAACACCCAGAGGGACACTATGGTCCCTCTGGGAAATGTCTGCTGCCCATGAACTGCATGCTCTTGGGGAGCAGGGACCAGGCACTGTCTTCTCCAAGTCCAGATACCCTGCTCAAGGCCATCAGATAAGAAGTAACAGCATCTCTTTGCTGATGGCCTACATTACCCCAGATTGCATGTGATCCTTTTACATGTAATCCTTTGAAGACCTTGCCTGAAAGAAATCACTTTTCACTCCTGCTGTGCTGAGGAAGCAGAGAAGAGGCTAAGTGCAATATCAGGGTTGAATGCAAGTCTGTCCCCTCCTAAGCCCATGTTGTTCTCCTATGATTTATTTAGGTGAGTTGGGTGGCTGGTTGTGTGGATGAAAGGATTCCACACAGGGTAGGCATGGTTCTCCCTGTATCACCTGGTGAGTAGTTTTCCAGGAGAGGCCATGGCTATGCCCATGGCTATGCCCAAGTCATCCCCAAGGCTATGTCCACTTCATTACCTCTGCCTTGGCCTAAGGTCTTACCCTTTCAGTCATCCAAAAGAGGCTGGCCCAAGGTGGACCCTCTTTGTGGTAGGTCAGTGGCTCTCCCACATCTCAGTATTTCTCTCCTGAGCCTTGGTCCCTCCTTTACCACCAAGTACTCAGCTGAAGGGAGCCAGGTGCTCCTCCACCAGCTCCCCAGCAGGGCCTCAGCAAATGGTGTTTGCTCAATGACTCACACATTCTGCACATAGCACCACCTCTAGTATCCCATTTGGAGACTGAAGTTGTGACAAGATTAAGGTTAATCTTCAAATGTGAGCTGAAAGGACAAAGTCTCCCTCAGCTGGTTTCTTCCTCTTGCCTCTTCTTTACTGGGTAACCCCCCCTCTGCCTGTTAGGAGAAGATTCCAACATGATGTCATAGGCCAGTGCTAGCAGAAAGCCAGATGGTTCTATTACCATGGAGACCTGTGCCCAAACACCCAACACCTAGGATCATCACCTGCTGTTTAAGCCGTTTAATTCAGCTTAATCCAGATCTCCCCCAAGAGATGCACAGGAAGCAAAGGGATGCCAGTATCTTCTGGAATCAGATTATCTATCTATGATTTGGAGCCAGTGAGCTCCCCAAGGGAAATCTGCCCAGAGACTCTGAAAGTGACCCTGCATCTCCCTTCACATCCAGTGAAAATTAGGAGGTATCCCAAGCATCTCTTTTGATAAATCCAGGGAACTGGCCCAAGTTGCCTGGTGTCTGGGCTTGGTCAGACCTATCCTTACTTCAGAGCCTCAGCCTCAGTTCCCTCAGGGCCGTGGCCTAGACATAGATCTCTGCTCTGCACCTCAAGTTCAGCTTCCTCTCCTCTCTGGTTCTCCACCAGTCACTGGCGGTAGACTTTTAGGCTGTCTCCATCTTTTTGATGTGTCTTTTGCAGACAGCATATTGAAGGATCCTATTTTCTAATTCATTCTGCTACTCTGTCTCTTGACTGGTGCATTGAATACATCTGTACTCTGTAATTTTTTATAGATATGAATTGATTGCCATCATTTTGTTGTGTGTTTTTCTGTGGTGTTGCTAGTTTCTTTGTTCCACATAATTTTCTGTGCTGAGTTCATTTTGTTTGTGGATTTTCTTTTCATTTCCATTTCTGTTGTGGGAATGTTTACTACATTTTTTTGATTTCCCTCTTTTTTTATTTTGGTGTGCAGGTACATTAATTTTCTGTGAGGTTCCACTGCAATTTGCTAATTTATTTCCCTATCTAAAACAGCCCATTTATCTTAAAATCTATGTAATGACTTTGCTTTTGTAGAAGCTCTGTATCTATACATTTCCCTCTTTTTGCTTTGTAGTTGACTTCATTATAAATTGATATCTTTGGTTCCCTAATTTCAGGCTTATAGCTTTGTTTCACTTTAAATACTGGTATATCTGGATTAATCTTTGGGTGGTGTTGTCATGTATGGCAATCTCAGGTTGTTGTCTGCTGTTGTTGATTCTCAGTCCAAAGAACATCCTTTATCATTTTTGCAAAGTTGGTCTGGTTATTACAAATTCCTTTAATTGCTGTTTTCAAGAAATAGCCAATTTTTGCCATCATATTTGAGGGACAGTTTTTCTGAGTATATGATTATCTTCTTTCAGAGCTTTGTGTACGTCATCCCATTGCCTTCTTGCCTGAATGGTTTCTGCTAAAAAATTAGAGCTTAGTGTTATTGGATCTCCTCTGTAGGTAACTTTTTGTTTTTCCTGAGCTGCTCTTAGGATTCTTCTCTTGTTTTTGGTTTTGGAAAGTTGCTTATGCTGTGTCTTGGTGATTTTCTATTGGGATCTATGCTGTTTGTCTTTTATTATGTTGGGGAAGTTTTCTTCCAACAACTCTTCAATAATTTTCTCTGTGCTTTTTATTGTCTCTTCCTGCTCCCAAATTCCAATCACCTGTAAATTGTTTCTCTTCGTGGTGTTCCTTGAGATTTTTTTCATTATTTTTTTCTGATTGTTTTTCTAGTACACTAGTATTGAGAGATTTCCCTTCAAGCTCACTAATTTGGATTTCCATTGCTTCTAATCTTCTCCTTTTGGCTTTTCAATGTATTGTCCATTTCTGAAGTCTTAGTATTAAGCTTTTGGATTTTTAATTGCAGGTTTGTATTATTTCAGGTTTTGCATTTATTTTGTCTGTTTCTTGTTGTGGCATTTTTCTAAATTCTTCTGCTTTTTCCAGTGTTCTCTTTGCTTTCCTCTATATTTCTGTCAATCCTTTGTAGGTTCTTAAATATCATTCTTTTTAATTCTTTTACATTAGTTCCAT